CTACATCTGTGGAGTGTTGGTGAATTTCCCTAAGTATCTTGTGTCTTTTTGTTGGGGAGTTTAATCCTTTCACATTATAAGTCATAAACTTAAGCTCATTTTAACTATTATTTCCCTACCCTACCAGGATTCCCAACACAGGAAGAAAGATAGACATTTTAAGATATGGACTTTCTCCCTTCCCTCCCTGCCAGAAATCCCCATTTTCTTCCCTCCCTTCCACCTTCTTCTCTTTACCCTAACACCACACTCCCCACCCTCCCTTCCCCCTACCTATTTTACCCCTAAAGACTCTCATGGCTTCCATATTGCCCTGGAATCTGTCATCGTTTATTCCCACTAGCGATTTCTAATTTGGGGTGAGACTCAAAACACGTACGCCCACTCCAATCCCTTGCTCAAATCATCAGTCAGATTGGAGTCTGACAACATATTTGGCCGTCTCCGTCATATTTTCTAACTTCTTGTTTTTCCTGAGTTCGATTCTCTGGACTTTTCTCCTGGGGGGCCGTGTACAGTATCTCACAGAAGTGAGTACACCCCTCACATTTTTGTAAATATTTTATCATATATTTTCATGTGACAACACTGAAGAAATGACACTTTGCTACAATGTAAAGTAGTAAGTGTACAGCTTGTATAAAAGTGTAAATTTGCCGTCCCCCCAAAATAACCCAACACACAGCCATTAATGTCTAAACCGCTGGCAACAACAGTGAGTACACTTCTAAGTGAAAATATCCAAATTGGGCCCAATTAGCCATTTTCCCTCCCCGGTGTCATGTGACTCGTTAGTCTTACAAGGTCTCAGGTGTGAATGGGGAGCAGGTTTGTTAAATTTGGTGTTATTGCTCTCTCTCTCATACTGATCACTGGAAGTTCAACATGGCAACTCATGACAAAGAACTCTCTGAGGATCTGAAAAAAAGAATTGTTGCTCTACATTAAGATGGCCTAGGCTGTAGGAAGATTGCCATATATATATATATATATATATATATATATATAAAATGCCTGGAGTTAAGCAGCTTCAAGTTTCATGAGCTTCAGGTTGATTTGCTTCTCGTCTTTACTGCCAATTCCGTTGACTCATCGCAGGAGACTTTGCTTTCTGTCTGCAGATCTTGTATCGCAGACCGTTATCTCTCTAACTAACTTCAAGAAGAGAGAAAGCTATCCTTATCTTAGACAATCGCACTGGAATTTTCCTATCACGGCCAAACCAATACCTTATTTGGCAAAAGGATTGTTAGGCAGGCTCAGCGTCATATGCTGCTTACATTCCTGAGGGAGGGGAATGAGGAGATACATGAAACCTCCAGGTGCTCGCATAGGAGTTTAAGAGAAATACCCAAAATGTATAAGTTTGAGTAAAAATGGAGAACCGCACCTGGCACCTGTGGGCATGATTGTGACAGAAGTCAAGCGTGTTTGGCAGCAACTAGGTGAGGAGTACAAAGACAAGTGTCTTGCCTACAATCAAGCATGGTGGTGGGAGTGTCATGGTCTGGGGCTGCATGAGTGTTGCTAGCACTGGGGAGCTACTGTTCATTGAGGGAACCATGAATGCCAACATGTACTGTGACATACTGATGCAGAGCATGATCCCCTCCCTCCGTAGACTGGGCTGCAGGGCAGTATTCCAACATAACGACTCCAAACACACCTCCAAGACGACCATTGCCTTGTTAAAGAAGCTGACGGTAAAGGTGATGGACTGGCCAAGCTTGTCTCCTAAACCCTATTGAGCATCTGTGGGGCATCCTCAAATGGAAGGTGGAGTAGCGCAGGGTCTCTAACATCCACCAGTTCCGCAAAGCCTCCCTGTTCTCCCGAACCTTTAAGATTTCACTGTGGGCTAGGCATCCTCTATTGCTTGGGCACTCCCAGCCGCCGCCTCCCACTCCCGGCCTGCCAGGGACCCAGGTTTCCTGCATGCCTCACAGCCTCTGCTGACCACAAGCCATCAGCTCCGGGATCCCGGCACCAGGACGGTCTCCCGCACTTGCCAGCCCCCACCAGATTCACCCAGCCACCGATGGATACGCCTCACCAGTCGGAGCCTCCCTCAGTTCCAGACAGTCGGGTACAAGGCAGTCAGGCACACATAGCCGTAGGGCGCCGGAGCATCACGCTGCTCACGGCGCCATGTTCAGGCCCTTCTCCCTACAGCCCCTAAAGCAATGTACTTTTAAATTTTAAAATTTCAGAGTTAGACTTTCAACTGTAGCTATCAAATGTGTTTGTGTATTTTCCTTGCTGCTTTTCTTTTTTCTTTTCCTATTTTGCTGTAGTGTTCTCTAACTGCAATCATCTTTTAGCTTTTATACTGTAAGCACTGTGAAATAAAACCTGAAATTCGCTTTTATATTTTATAATGGCTCGTTTTCACAAATTGTATTTTACTCTGATGGAATTCTTTTGTTTGCTAATGTATTTGTTTTCTGAAGTATAGTGCCATATAGGTATCGTGTATATGGTTTAAACAGCTGTGAATCAGTTAAAGAATCTTTATGGTATAAACGGACATAGCAATAGGAAGTTTTCCTCCTCTTTACGCACAGTGAGTGTCCCTGGGGGTTTACTGACATAGTTTTGCCAAGAGAGGTTGAGTCAAGCTGTTCGTGTGTTCAGCTCTCTCCCAGCACCTGTCTGGACATCTGCCTTCTGCAGGAGCCTGGCCTATATGGATGGAAGTTTATGCCTCATTTATTTATAAGCAGTGTATTTTTCCATTTTATTTTCCATTTGTGCATTGTTGTTGCAGATTCATATTTTTGAGTAAATGGATTCCGGCTATCTTAGTGGTTTATTATAATACTTTAGCTAAATGTCCTGGGGAATTTTCCTCCCTTGAGTTTGACTGAGTGTGCAGTTCCTGCACTGCATCAGCAATAATGTATTCTTAGTTACCAGCTCTTGTGTTGCTCGGCTCAACAGAACTTTCATTGTCTGTCACATTAGAGGAGCCTCATGTTGTCTGGTCTGAAATACAGAGAACAAAATGGCTTGTCTGTTTTTTTTTTTTTTTTTGTACCAATTTTAGTGTTCATTGTAAGAACATTAATAAGCATGGTCATTAATCATCAAGTAAAGGTCAGTTGTGATAATTAACTTTGGAGATTGTATTGGCAGCTTTACACATATTCGCTTTGGCAGATATGTGTTTGAATGCAGCATTGCTTAATACATTTTAAGGAGGATGCATACCAACATTAGTGAATTTGTAAGTCTGTTCAATAGTTTCTTTAAGGAAGAGAACACCAGTCCTAGATGAAATAAAAAGAAGTTAAAGTGACAAAATACTATATCCTTAAGCCTCAAACACATGAAAAGATTCAGATGAAAAATACCTCTTTCAGTGCAATCTTCCGATAATCTGACCGCTAGTACACAGCTTTCGAGAACTAATCACAACACTTCGTGCAAAAATATCTGAAGGGAGAAGCACAAAAATATTTCTCATACGATAAGAGAACAAACGATTTTTGTTTTATCAGTACAGTATTCGTCTGTATAAAAGTGACCAAAACCGTACATGCTCGGAAATGAAAGAATACAACACATTACATCACTTCCAAAGTTGAGGTAACCTCTTCATTTTTTTATATGAAACTAGCATGCAGAAAACAAAAAAAAAACAGATGATCATCCAATATTCTCATCGTGTGTACTAGGCTCTAATTTCCAGACATAATCCTTATACATTCGCTACTTTATGGTCCTGTAGTATTTTTTCATTGAATTGTTTTACTGTGTTTTTCTGCCTCCTTGTAACATCCTTTTTGGCATCTGCTCCTCTTTCCCCCCTAACTTCCATTTGTTTATGACAAACATTAGTAATGGTCATGTTCACTGCTCTATGCACACTACAAATCCTGTAGTCCATCTTGAGAGTGAGCAAGAGAGGGTGGCTACAGCCATGCATGTAGTGGGACCATGGAGAATAAACAGACACCCTCTAATAATTACTGAACTCCTCCACTCTTCCTACCACTCCATCCCCCACAGCTATTTCCTCCTGTACCACTATCCCCTCCCTCCTAGATTGTAAGCTCCAAGGAGCAGGGCCCTCAAACCCCTCGTGTATTGAATTGTATTGTTACTGTACTGTCTCCCTTTATAATGTACAGCGCGCTGAGCAAACTGTTGGTGCTATATAAATCCTGTATAATAATAATAATGATAATAGGAAGTAAGATCACCGCGTGAGTTAAAGCGGTATTCATTACAAAAACGTAAATATTAATGTTCTGTATTGCAGTTTACCAAAAAAGTGGTGGTTGCATAACTTGTTTCTAACAAAAATGATAGCATTTTCAAAAGATTTATGACCGATTTTACCACTCAAAACACAGGCACAATGAAAAGTGGTCAGGGGCTGGTTTTAAAGTGTTCAGTGCTGTTTTAGAGCAAAGTGGGAAAGTGATGGCTCTTAATCTTAATGTTTTTTTTGGAATGTTCTATCCCATGTATGTTTGATAATCTGTATTTCATTACAACAGTTTGCTGCAGTGTGATTACATAGAATTACCTCTGTGCAAAAAATACATTTGTTTTCATGTAGTCCACATGCCACTTATGTTTTTGGAAGGTATTCCTCTGCTGCATGTGGCAACCATCAGTGGTTGAAATTATTTGGGAATATTTGATAAACAATTTTGACATTAAAAGCTACGGAATGTTTTGTTCAGATTGGTGGACTAGCCCTTTACAGAATAACTTCAAATTATGTTTTTTTGCTTTTTTACAGTGTTTCTACCTGTATACCTGGCTTTGTTCCTGCCTACTTAGGTTTTCATTTTAAGCTGTCATTTTTATAATGTCATTTACCACTTCTAAAAACCATAGTGCTCATAATGGTTTCAGTTCTTTCATTTACAGGTTATTTTATCCTTTTTTAATTATTATTTGTATTTAGGTTCTTTATGTTGACTTTGACAATAATGGTTTCCTATTATTTGGTGTTTTTTGCAGGCACTGGCAATACAGTTGTAATAATGGTTGGATATCCTAAAGGCATGGATATTATGGAAGTTCTAAGAAGACAAATCCCAGTGAAGATGACCATTACTGTAGGGACTCGCCATGTCCAGGAATTTATTAGTGGTCAGTCGGTAGTGTTTGTGGCTATTGCCTTTATCACCATGATGATCATATCCTTGGCCTGGCTCATTTTCTACTATATACAACGGTTTTTGTATACAGGAGCTCAGTATGGAAATCAGGTGACTATGACTGATTTAGTTTGTGTATTGATAGTAAATAAGTGCTATGGTCATGACAAGGTAGCATCTGATTAGGGAGGGAACCATTGTATATGTTAAAAAGGTTGTAGCGTATTAATTAGGCCCAGGAAAGGACTGAATTGGGGATCTAAAAATTTTCCAAGGCAGGGTTTGAGGATGTGGTAGAAAATAGGATTGGCAAAAGCAGTAGGTACATGATTGGAGCAGGTGCTACTTTTTAAAATAAAATGTGATAGTAAAATGAATGGGATGTGCATCATTGGAAAGACTAGTTCTGAATGAACATGGAGTCCCATAACATATAAGATGTCAACTATAAACACATTAACTAGGACATAGATGCTAGTGGTTATAGTAAAGAATGTAGATTCATATCTACATTGCACATAAAACAGTTTAACAAATAATGGATAAACCAAATGGAGGGGAAAATATGCTGTAATAATACTGTAAAAAGTACATATATTCTAGGAGGTGGATTTTTGTTAATAAAAGAAAACTTGTATGCTTCCCCACTGTTTAGAGAGCACAAATATTGACCGTTGAGCTGCTCTCCTTATCAGATGGCATGGGTGGGCAAGGTCAATAAAAAATCTTACATTTTGCTGCATGTCAACTGGTCTGACCATATAACAGACAGAATATTGAAAACGGGGCTCATTACAGTAAAAGTTTAGAGACACTCAGCAAAGTGACTATTCTCCAAGCTTAGGCAAGTCATAGATGTGATTTTCTTTCCTGCAACCAGAAGTTGCAAGAAAGAGAAAATTGCTCAATTTCCCCATCAACACAGTCAGTGTTGATGGTGCAATCCCTCCCGCAGAATACAATGATTATGGCTGGCAGCTATATTCTGTGGTTGAAGGAAAAAAATGGCATAGTTTACAGTCAGCCTTAGAGTAAGACTATTAAAAGGATTAGAAGGCTATTTGTGTACTAAAACATTGTACTGCTGTATTGAACCTAAACATTTCAAGTTGCTTGATCCTCTAAGAATTAGGCACTTTATGAATTCCAGCAGATGGGATTTGTGGACTCTGAAGCTATGTATATTCCTGTGATTTTACCAAATCAAATTTAGGAAAAGTATGAATTCTCAAGATCTGACAGTTCACACATCTGCAATCTTCGTCTTTTTAAAAGCATCAGAAGTAATATGTTGGCTCTTGACAGCTTTAAATGTTTCACTTCCCTTCAAGAAAAGACAACATACTCAACTCTGCAGCAGCCTATTTCTCCTACCTCTCCTCTGCTCCAGTGCTGAAGACTTGAAAAGCCTATGTAGCATGTGACATTTCAGATGCATGTGTCCCTCTCTGTGCTCTGGCTCCTTCTTCCAAAGGGAGTGGGCAGAAAAACAGCTTGCTGCAGGGGACACGGGCATCCAAAACTCCTGGTCTAAGTTTTTTGAATGCCCTGCAGTGCTAGAACAAAAAAGAGGCCAAAGAGTAAAATGGGTCTCTGAAGTAAAAAAAAAAAAAAAAAAAAAAAACCCATACATACAAAATTTTAATGATACCGCCTTTAATACACACATGAACACAATCATTCTTCACCAGATCATCATTCAAAAGGTTTAAATTATATAACATTTTTAAAAAGCTTGTATTCTTAGCATCATGCAGTGCCATCTATTTTTGAAAGTTTGTCTTTTGGTGATAAATGTTGATCCTTTTTTTTTTTTTTTTTCTCCTCCTCCTTTTTAAGAGCAACCGTAAAGAAACCAAAAAAGCAATCAGCCAGCTTCAGCTACACAGGGTGAAAAAAGGAGAAAAGGTAAATGGAATTATTACTATATATAGCAAGCACTGGATAAAAATTTTTTTTTCTGATAAATAACTTGTCTTGTACTTGCCCTCCAAGAACCTTGATTTTTTTGGACCAAGACAGCAAGATCCACCAAGATCTTTTCACATTATCACTTTTGTACCCCATTAGAGACTTGTGTGTACAGGATGGTCCTCTTCCTGCTAACATTGCCAGCTTAAATTTGTCAAATTTAGAACGAAAAAAAACCTGGAATTAACTGGTACACTTTTGCTGTTCTTTTCTAGGGCGACAAAAGTGCATGAAAACTATTCCCCTTTAAATTCTATATAATTGTTCGCCCTGCAGGTGTGCTGCGCTTTGAAGGGTCCTGCATGCTCCATTTTGTTTTTTTATTAACTTTTTATTTCGTTATACAAACAACATTAAAACATTCCATCTTCCAAATTATATTTTTTTCTCTTTCTTTTTTCTTTCTGTTTTTTTTTTTTTTTTTAAGCTACCGTATTTGCCGGCGTATAAGACGACTGGGCGTATAAGACGACCCCCCTACTTTTCCTGCTAAAATGTAGTGTTTGGGCTATACTCGCCGTATAAGACTACCCCTCTTCCAATGCACACCAGTGGGAGGAATAGTGCCCCATCATTGATGTCAGTGGGAGGAATAGTGCCCCATCATTGGCATTAGTGGCAGGAATAGTGCCCCATCATTGGCATTAGTGGCAGGAATAGTGCCCCATCATTGGCATTAGTGGCAGGAATAGTGCCCTATCATTAGTATCAGTGGAGGAATAGTGCTCCATCATTGGTGTCATTGGGAGGAACAGTGCCCCATCATTGGTGTCAGTGGGAGGAATAGTGCCCCATCATTGGTATCAGTGGGAGGAATAGTGCCCCATCATTGGTATCAGTGGGGGGAATAGGTGCCCCATCATTGGTATCAGTGGCAGGAATGGTGCCCCATCATTGGTATCAGTGGCAGGAATAGTGCCCCATCATTGGTATCAGTGGCAGGAATAGTGCCCCATCATTGGTGTCAGTGGGAGGAATAGTGCCCCATCATTGATGTCAGTGGGAGGAATGGTGTCCCATCATTGGTGTCAGTGAGGGGTGGAATAGTGCCCCATCATTGGTGTCAGTGGGGGGTGGAATAGTGCCCCATCGTTGGTGTCAGTGGGGGGGGAATAGTGCCCCATCATTGGTGTCAGTGGGGGGGAGGAATAGTGCCCCATCGTTGGTGTCAGTGGGGGGGAGGAATAGTGCCCCATCGTTGGTGTCAGTGGGAGGAATGGTGTCCCATCATTGGTGTCAGTGAGGGGTGGAATAGTGCCCCATCATTGGTGTCAGCGGGGGGTGGAATAGTGCCCCATCGTTGGTGTCAGTGGGGGGGGGGGAATAGTGCCCCATCATTGGTGTCAGTGGGGGGGAGGAATAGTGCCCCATCGTTGGTGTCAGTGGGAGGAATGGTGTCCCATCATTGGTGTCAGTGAGGGGTGGAATAGTGCCCCATCATTGGTGTCAGCGGGGGGTGGAATAGTGCCCCATCGTTGGTGTCAGTGGGGGGGGGAATAGTGCCCCATCATTGGTGTCAGTGGGGGGGAGGAATAGTGCCCCATCGTTGGTGTCAGTGGGAGGAATAGTGCCCCATCATTGGTATCAGTGACACCAATGATGGGGCACTATTCCTCCCACTGAGACTTGCTGACCCTGTTCTCGTATGGTGCTGCTGCAGCCAGCATATGTGGTTGCAGCAGCACCTCTACACAGAACACTTACCTGCTGCTCCGGCACTCAATTTTCGCGGGGGCCGCTCGGCTCCGCCCCCTCGCCGGTGATTGGCCGCCTGTGTGAATTTCCTGAGCTACAGTTCTGGCGGCCAATCACCGGTGAGGAGGCGGAGCCGAGCAGCCGCACGAACATCCAGTGGCCGAACTGAAGGAGACGCCGCGCTTCCTGGACCGGATCGTCGTGGGACTGGATCCAGGTAAGAGACATCAGCCCCTGCAAACCCCTGTACTTAATGCCGCAGCCCCCCTAAACATGTGTACCGGCGTATAAGACGACCCCCGACTTTTGAGAAGATTTTCAAGGGTCAAAAAGTCGTCTTGTACGCCGGCAAATACGGTATATAAATACATTCTATAACCCACAACCTCCCTCCCACCCCACCTACATCATCTCAATCTTTTCTCTATCTGTATCCATTTCTCCAAATCTTGTTGTTCCGTCTAATATCACCATAACTTCTTAGGCTGCCTCCTTGGCTTTAATTAGTTCTGTATAAAGTTTCTGAAGTTTTAAATTTCATCCAAACACTCCATATTCCTTTAAACATTCCCATCTTATCCTCTTCTATACATCTCAGTTCCTCCATTCTGACAATACTTTCCACTCTATCCAGTCCACCATCCTTGGAACTTCTGCCACTAGCCAGAATTTAGGTATCAGACCCTTTGCTGCACTGATTAAATGATACAGTGCCTTATTCCTATGTACTTCCAAGTTGGGCTCAAAATAGAAAAGCATTTCCATGGATCTCCCTGGATATTTACCTTGCATATTTCCTGGGTATAATGAGCTTTTTCCCTCCAATAGACCTGCATCCTCGGGCAACTCCAGCAAATGTGCTCCATCTTTAGTACAGTTTTTCAAAAGAGCACCAAAAAGGCATCTTCCATTGTAAGTCAATGGAAATGAATCAAAAGTACTTCACTGTGAAAGAGACCTTAGGCTATACAAAAGTGCATCACTATGAAAGGGCCCTTACACTTGCAGGCCCAGCTCTGCAACCAGCTATTGCTGCAATTTCTGTATGCCAAACTGCAGCTAACTGGACTAGAGCAATAACCAACACAATTCTGTATTCCAGGACAATGCTTTATCTGACCAGTTACAACTATTGCCTTCTGCCTTGCTCATTTGTGTGGATGCCCTAAAACATGTAATGAGGCAATTTTCCAGGATGGTTCTAATCTCTATTCACATGTGCAGAATCATTTGGCTCATAGCCTGGATTGCCGAAGCTGCCTGTAAGGTGCCTTACACGCATGCCCTTTGACACTAGATAAATCCATTAAACTTGCCCCAGGAGGGTCACAGAGAAAGATTAGAAAACTCCCTTGGGGACTGTGTCCATCAGTCTCTGCGGTCCACATCCCAGTAGTTGACAACTGGAATATGGATTACTTCCACTTCTGCTGCCTGGATCAGGGGGAATGGGTCCTTGACCCTGACATCTTCCACTTGATATGTCAGAAATTGGGGATCCTGGATGTGGATATCCTGGCATCCAAATTCAACCAAAAAACTACATGTTTGTGGACAAGACTAAGGATTCTCTAGCACTTGCAGTGGATGCCTTGATAATCGCCAGGTCTCAGTTCAGGTTAATCTATTCCTTCCTTCCAGTGCGTACTCTACCTCATCTGCTCCACAATATAGCAATAGAGGAAGGTGATTGTCATTGCACCAAACAGGCCCAGGAGAACCTGGTACATACGCATACTCAGACTACTGGAAAGTGACCCCTGGCCGTTCCCAAACAGGCCAGACCTGCTGTCTCATTGCCCTGTATTTCATCCTGCTTCTCTCACTCACTAGCTTTAAAAGCATGGCTGTTGAAGCCCAGGTCTTACAAGAGAAGTATGGCCAACTCTTTTTAGAGTCACAGGAGTGCACTTACTTTTGTTCTCATTTAATCTAGAGTCAACCAATAGTGGGCTGTTGCCCACTATCAGCTGATGAGGCAGAGTCGCTCCAGGCTCTGGAAGAAACCCATCAGTTATTCTCTTAAAGGACCTCACCTGCAAAGTTGCCTTTTTGATTACACAGAGCTCTTCGTGCTGCTGTTCTTCAGTGTGAGGCGTTAAGCACTGAAAGTTGTGCCCTATTCAACAGAGGCTTGATGAATGTTGTGCAAAAGTACTTCAAAATTTCATCTTGCTTTTAAGTCAATTTTGATATGAATGGAATTTCCCAAACTAAAAGACATACAATTATAGAAATTGTGTACTAGGAAAAAATGTCCATCCTGCTCCTTCACATTTTCTCGTCACTACTGTTGAAAACAAATCTACTAGTCTTTCTAATATTGCCTGAGGAGCCTGTTAAATATATTTATACAACATATATCATCATAAGAATTTAGAGGGGAACTTGTGTTCCTTGCCCTTGGTGAGTACTGGAGGTTGGATTTCTACAATGCAATACACAGAATTGTTTTGTATATCCATGTGTTATGTAGTACAGATGCTGACTGAACCGAGGCTACTAGGTCTCCTCTATTCCTGGAGTGTGTCAGCTATTGTCGTCAAGGGCTTGTCCTCCGTAATATTTGCAGTGTGATCTGTACAGGTTATGACTCACTCCTACTGGCTTAAAGCCATCAGTCACTGCTGTTTGTGATGATCTGCTGTTATTGAACCTTCTCCAATTATTATTTTGTGTTTCTCTTCCTTAAACTAGGGAGTCGATTTTGAGGCAGAGAATTGTGCAGTATGTATAGAGAACTACAAACCCAAAGACGTTGTGCGCATTCTTCCATGCAAGTATGTATTCGTTATGATTTAAGTGTAATGATTTTGAGTTTTATTTTTAGTTGTTATCTGATCAGGCAATCTTTTAATTCTTAAACATACATTCTTTGTCCCTTTGTAAAACCACAAAACATACATACATACATATCTAGAACACACCCATGTCGAGCAGTTATCTGGAGTCTTGGATTTATAAAATCTTTTGCTTTGGGACAGATTCCTTTTCCCTAAACAAACACCTTCATAGGTTCCTCTAATGGAAGTTACCATTTTGCTACTCGCACATTGCATACTAGTTCTTGGAAAATTTAAGTTGGGTAAATTATTGAGCTTTACTGCAAATTAAGTCATTATCTTAGACTGTTTATGGAGGCCTTTATTCAGAGAATGATAGCTGTCATTGGAGGCTTGTGCTTTCTGTGGCGAAACCGTTCCGCCTGGGCTTCCTCTTGCGGAGTAATGCGGTGTAGTCTCAGCCAATGATCCCTTTTTCCGGCAAGTCTTCCAGCGCTCTGCTGAGGTGGGTATTAAAGCTCAAAGACAATCCTTCCCCGATATCCCAAACCACTAGTCGGAACTCATGTAGGGTGAATGAATGCATCACTTTATTGAACACAACTCAAGTTATACAGTACATGCCCTCAGTAATCCCTGTCCCCTCCACCCCCACCAGACAGTCTGGCACCTGGTTTCCCCACCCACACCCAAAAACTCTACAGTACAATACAGCAGTAATCAGCACAGTATGAAATTGGATAAGTGAAAGGCTAAAAGTCCCCATTACCCAAGCAAACTGCAGAATGCCTGTCTAAATGACAGCTGCTAAACATATACAGTTTTAAAAAAGGTAGAACGGGAAGGCCACTTAACAAAGGGATAAAACCGGAATGGAAAGGGCAAAATGTTATCACAAAGGGATGGGTCTGCTTGGGGCTGGTCGGTTCAGAGGGTTACTTCCCTAACTTGGTTTGCCAGGACAACCCATCTGCATTGGCGTTTTGCTTCCCCAGTCGGTACTGGATGGTAAAGTTGTAGGGCCAAGCTCCACTGCAGCAGACAACCATTGGGGGTTGTGATCGGTGAGTACGGTGAAGGAGCGCCTGTACAGGTAGGGCTGCAATTTCTTTAGGGCCCATACCAAGGCAAGACACTTTCTCCACAGCAGCATAGGCCATCTCCCGGGGTAACAACTTTCTGCTTGGGTAGGCCACTGGATGGTCGTTCCCGTCCTCCCCGATTTGGCTCAGAACAGTGCTCAATCTAAAGGTGGAGGCATCTGTATGAACACAAAACCATTTGGAAGGGTCAGGAGCAGCCAAAACAGGAGCATGGATCAGGTCACTTTTTGAGCTTTTGGAAAGCCGTTTCACACTCTGGGGACTACACAACCTGTCGGTTCAGATCCGTTAGGGGTTTAGCAATGGCGCTGTAGTTGGGGATGAATTTACGGTAGTACCCCGCAGTGCCTAGGAAGGCAAGGACCTGGGTCTTGGTTCGGGGAGTGGGCCACTTTGCTTCAGCTTCCACCTTTGCCGGTGCTGGTTGTTGCTTCCGACATCCTACCCAATGTCCTGGATATTGGACCTCGGACACCCCAACATGGCATCTGTCAGGTCGGATGGTGAGCCCTGCTTGCCCGATGGTATCAAGCACTTCCCCGATGGTATCAAGCACTTCCCCGAGGTGTCGGAGGTGATCCTCCCAACTATCACTGTAGATAGTTATATCATCTAGATAGGCGCAGGAGAAGTCCTTCAGCCCATCCAGCAGCTTATCTACCATTCAGCCGGGGCGTTCTTCATCCCAAACGGCATGATCCTGGACTGGTACAAGCCGAACGGGGTGATGAATGCCGACTTTGGTACCTTGTCCGCATCCAGCGGAATCTGCCAGTACCCCTTGCAGAGATCGATGGTGGTAAGGAAATTACCTCTGGCCATCCGGGCCAGCCACTCGTATATCTGGGGCATGGGTTATGCATCGGTCACGGTCCGGTCATTGAGCCTCCGATAGTCCACACAGAACCGGATGGTTCTGATCTTCTTGGGTACCAGGACCACCGGGGAGGCCCAGGGACTGTCAGAGGGTTCTCTCACACCTAAATCCAATATTTCCTTTTAATCTCTCTCCTCACTCCTTCTCTGACGGACTCGGGCACTCGGTAGGCTGCCTGCTTCAGGGGGGCCTGAACCTGCGTGTCTACCCGGTGGGCAGTTGTGATGGTGTACCTGGGCAGGGACAAGAACAGCCCTCGGTGCTCTTGGAGCAGTTGGCGGGCCTGTTCCTGGTCTCGGGCAGACCGGTCGTACCACCGTTTCTGTCGGCTCTGGGTGGCCTCAAGGTTGTCCCGTACTAGGGACGTCAACCGTTGTAGCCTCTCCCTGAGCTCCAGCACGTAGGCCACCACCGAGGTCCCCTCCTTGGCCACTGCTTCCTCCCAGTGTTCGCATAGGAGATCCAGGGGTTCTCGAACCCTCCGGCCGTACAGCAGCTCGAAGGGAGAGAACCCAGTGGACTCCTGCGGTACCTCTCAGTAGGCGAACATGAGGTGGGGGAGATGCCGCTCCTAGTCCTTATGGGACATGGTGAATGTTCGAAGGAGCTGTTTCAGCGTACCGTTTAAACCGTTCGCAGAGCCCATTGGTGTGGGGGTGGTAGGGAGAGCTGTACAGCAGTCTGATCCCACACAACTTCCAAAGTTGTTGGATAAGCTCAGCCGTGAACTACATGCCCTGGTCGGTCAGGATCTCCCGAGGAAATCCTACCTGAGTAAAGATCTGCAGCAGGGCATGAGCAGCCGTTTCTGCCTGCACATCTCTCAGCACTACGGCCTCCGGATACCGGGTGGCGTAGTCTACAGTGGTCAAGATATACTTCTTGCCCGTGGGACTAGGCCATTTCAGGGGCACTAGTCCACGGCCATGCAGCTGAAAGGTTCCCCTACTATGGGTAGGGGCCTCAGAGTGGCCCTGGGCCTGTCTCCCTGCTTCCCTACCTTCTGGCAGACCTCACAAGACCAACCGTAGTCCCCGAACGTCCCCCGATACTCCTGGCCAGAAGAAATTCTGGGTTAAGCAATGCAGGGTTCGTCGGTTGCACAAATGCCCAGCAAGGGGAATATCATGCGCAATCTGGAGAAGATCACGCCGATACTTCCTCGGTACTCCCATCTGCCGGTGAGGTATTTTTGGGCAGCGCCCACTCCCCCGCTCTCCCTGTGGACCTTGAAGAACTTGCCCTGATCCCACTCATACCTCACATCTCCCAATCCCCCAGGATCACTCCCAGCCCTCCATCTATAGGGGTCTAAGGTCCGGTCACTGGCTGTTTCTTTAGCGAAATCAGCAGGGGAATCCCAAGTCAGGGCAGGGAAAAGCTTAGCAGGGGGTGGGTATTTGATTCTTACCGGAGCCTCGGCAGGTAGAGCGGCAGCGTGCTCTCTAGTCTGGTGGTGAGTGGTGACCGGATGAGCTTCGGCAGGGGTCTCTGTGCCAAAAGTGGAGACCAGGACTCCCAGGTCATTTCCAAGGAGAACCTCAGCCGGCAAGTTCTGCATTACTCCAATTTCAACGTCCACGGCCCCAGCCCCCCTGTCCAGTTGAACCCTCGTGGTAGGAATTCGGTACACATAGCCTCCCGCTACCCGTACGGCCACAGACTGCCCGGTCTTGGCCTTTCTGGTACAAGTGGGTATTTATTGTAAATAGTTATAAGCAATCCACGTGGATACAGCAAAGAGTTAAATGCATAAAAGCATACCAAAATTGCCAAAATTGCCACCGCTCCGAGTTCTGGCCATGGTGTTGTGACGTCAGCACGTAAGGCTCCACCCAATGCGTTTCGTGTGCACGCACATGCCCCTGAAGATGTGCATATGTACGAATTGTGTTTGGTGGAGCCTTACGTGCTGACGTCACACTGGAGCTCAGAGCAGCGGCCATTTTGGTATGCTTTTATGCATTTAATTATTTGCTGTATCCACGTGGATTACTTTTAACTATTTACAATAAATACTACACTATATTGCCATACCTTTTGGCTCCTGTGGTGAGCTTCTCCCCCTAGGAGGATCCTTTGCTGGTTTTGCATAGCCCTGACCCTGGAGAAGTCCGGTCCCTATTTATGACTTCCTGAGACCCCCCATAAGGATCAGCATTAATGCTATTATACAAGTAGCGTTCTGGTGAGTGCACATCCATATAAGGGTGGATTCCTATGTTGGATCATGTGCACTCTTCAGCATCCCAGCTGGTATTGCTGCACCTTGTAGTTCCACGAACACCGGGCATTGCTGTGACCTGTAGTGCCACGGACTATGTATAATCACCATTATTGCTAAATAAGCACACATATATCACTTGGCACTTCTGTGACCTGCAGTGCCACGGACTATCCACTATTTTTATATTCAGAATTTTAGAGTTTTTTATTATTCTATGTGATCTGAGATGTTTTATTTGATTTATTTCACTGGAACATTGTATGAACACTTATATTCACATAAGTATTTATGATTGCATTTGTCACTTATGCTTTAGCGCTGCACTTATATTTGAATTGATTACTGTGGGTTTGTTACCTTGCCTTTTGTGCTAGCGGCTAACATATTACCTGTGCACGCCTCATATCTTGTGTTATATCTCAAGTTTATAACCATGCTAGAGCAAGAGATCAGTTACCTGGTTCTTTTCTATAGGCCTAATTTGTATTCACAGTAAAGTGTATTTTTTTTTTTTTTTCCCCAGTTGCTAAGATCAAGAATATGGAGCCTAATATGAGTGGGAGATCTAGAATATGGAGCCTAATATGAGTGGGAGATCTAGAATATGGAGCCTAATATGAGTGGTTTTATGAGATGTGATTGAATAGGGACCATTATTTTTTTTTTTTTTATTCAAATATTTATTAATTTTTCATATTTATAAATACATATAAAAAAAGAGAAAAAAGAAAATACAAAGGAGCATAGCAATACATTTCTTCAACAATCTCATATAAAAATTCTTATCCCC